GACTTTGCAGATGATCTGCCCCTCCCATCACAATCGCAACAACAAATGAAGGAGAAAACGACCAGTGTAGCAGCAGCCTCAGCAGCAATAGGTTTTAATATACACAAAGGGAAGAGCAAGATTCTCCGATACGACACAGCATGCACCAATCCAGTCACAATTGACGGAGAAGATTTGGAAGATGTAAAAACCTTTACATATCTGGGCAGCATCACTGATGAACAGGGTGGATCTGATGCAGATGTGAAGGCACGGATCGGCAAAGCAAGAGCAGCATATTTACAACTGAGAAACGTCTGGAACTCAAAGTAACTGTCAACCAACACCAAGGTCAGGATTTTCAATACAAATGTCAAGACAGTTCTACTGTATGGGGCGGAAACCTGGAGAACTACGAAAGCCATCATCCAGAAAATACAGGTGTTTATTAACAGTTGTCTAAGCAAAATACTTCAGATCCGTTGGCCGGACACTATTAGCAACAACGTACATTGGGAGAGAACAAACCAGATCCCAGCAGAGGAAGGATTTATGAAGAAGCGCTGGAAGTGGATAGGACACATATTGAGGAAAGCACCCAACTGCGTCACGAGACCAGCCCTCACATGGAATCCTCAGGGTCGAAGGAGGAGAGGAAGACCAAAGAACACATTACGCCGGGAAATAGAGATAGACATGAGAAGAATGAACAACAATTGGATAGAATTTGAGAGTAAGGCCTAGGACAGAATGGGTTGTAGAATAATGGTCGGCGGCCTATGCTCCATCGGGAGTAACAAACAGCTGAATTCGGACTCCATGTGATCAAGTAAGCCGGTGAATGCATATATAAATTCACGATTAGTTTTATTTCGAAATGTTTATATAAGTTAAATTTTGTATCCCCTAATTTCCATCTTCTTGTCATAACACAAAATGAATGGGATATTAAGCAAGTATGTAAATAATTTACTCAGAATGTATGTAACTACTTTCAAAAGTTTGAGGATTATATCATGGATTGGATGATTGAAAAGACTGGTATATCGTCACAATGATGTTTCCGATATTGATAGACCACTTTGTTTAACATTCAAATGAAATGGCTTCTAATTTGTTAGAGGTTTATTTCTCGTTGTTATTAAGTTATACAAATGAACTTAGTGTAGAACTACTACAAGGAATAGTTTTTCATACAAACATCTACCGTATCACCACAATAATCTATTTTTGTCCCATTAAACAAGTTAACACGTTTAAACAACCCAATGGTGTAATAAAATGTAATCAGCCATTTCTAAGCAAACGAGCATTTCAAGCTTGTTATTTATAACACAGGAAGTTTTGTTGTGTAACTATTGAAGCTCACAAACCTTTGGTGATTTGTAATTCAAAATAAATGAAGAAGGAGTTATATTTAACCAGTCGAAATTGATCAACAGTTTATGGTCATAACATTAATTAAGTGTTAACAATGGTGCATTTTGCTCTATTATGATGAATAATATTCAGGTTAAAGGAGTAATAATAATGGATCAGAGCCACAGTGAACACAAAGATAAGACGAACTTCGTTTGTACGTGATGTTCATGGTTCATCTTATGAACAGGTAGAGCTTATTATGCTTTTAGGGTGTGGTATCAAAAAATCTGGATAGATGTGAAACGATTATAAAGATAAATTTAAAACCAACAAATAAGTAAGAAAAGTGCTTTGCTTCGAATAAATGCTCATTGGTAGAACTCATAACGGTGTTGTTGACGCCTTGCAAGGCCATTCTGGAAAATGTGTTAGTATCCTTGCTGAAAGTGAATGCCGTCCATAGTCAACAAAAAATGCTCTAAAGAACCAAATGTAATACCGAAATATTCACCAAAAAATTCATTTCAGTTCTTGCGATTCAAGATTATAATTAATTCGAAAAATTTCTGATGGTTTTCCTTAGCAGACTATCTTCATTATTCCAAGAATGTATGAAGAACTCTTTCGAAATTAAATAAAAATTTTACATTTAATCTACACGCACATCAAACAAAAAAGGAAATATTCATCTAAATCAAAGTATCTGAACGCAAGAAGATGAATAAATTGAAGCATATAGATCGTGAATAATATTATCACCAATGTCAATATACTACTTAAATAAATAAGGGTATAAATAAATGCGAAACGCTCAAGTTACTGTAGGAAAAGAACAAACGGCAAACACAAATAAATGAAAATTTAGGATGTCGACGATTGATGGAAATCGAGATGGGAAGAAGAATAAGTTGTGTGAAGATGTGCAAATGAAACCCTTCTAACGATTATCAACCAGTATAGTTTAGGTGAGTAAATGCAACATTATGCGAATGTCGCGGGCCGGTGGTTATTTCGGAGTTTGTTGAAGAGTGCGTGAAAAACAAACAGTCACTCACTGACTCTGGGAGAACTCCCCGGGCACTGGACAGAGAGTGTTGTCCGCCAAGTGCGGGTTTCCCACCCAGTCTCCATGTCATAATTGCGGAGACGTACTGCACATGGCCCTGTGGCTGTGTGTGGTGCTGAGCAGATGACCTGGTTGGATGGGCGCTGGCCTCAGGTGTACGGTTATTGACCACATCTCACAATGGGGGTCACGGGACGCGACACCACGCATTTTGTCAACACAACACCTCAATATCCACACACATACCTACGTCCCTCTCTGTCTGCTTACATCAACTACACTCTCTACCACAGGTACCACATTCTCACTCCACATACACAACACTGACCATTCGATAGACTATCAACAGACACTCATGATACAGATTCACTCGATTCTATTATTTATGTAATTAGGTCGTCACTTCTCAAACTGAATTGCAAATCATCCAATAAGACACATTAGCTAATGCTAATCACTTCGGTTATTCTCCACACACTATCGATTCACATCAATATCAGTTCGATTGAGTCGAATCCACTGTGCTGATTAATAAACACCACAACCTTGTATGTCACATACCACTGCACAACAGGAGATCAAGTTCATTCACCTCTCTTCTATACTTAACATTCAATCTATTGGTTGAAAATTTTCAGTTCGTTTTGTTCGATGGTGCTAACTCACAGAACAAGGTGTTCAAAAAGTCGGTTGTTAGTGTGCATGGAATTATCAAGTCCAGATACTCAGGTTGTTTTCTGTTGCAACCCAGATAATCAGTCGTTAACTGTGTATCTGTTAAATAACTTGTTGTTTTTTGTTTTTCTTTGTCTTGGCATCGTTCGTTGTTGAGTTTTGTGAAGTCCGACGGATCATTTTGGATTAATTAGATTTTCGCTTCAATTCCGAAAATGGAACCTGAGTTTGGTGAATTCTATGTAGTTATCAACCAATCACTATTTTATAATCGTCGCCTTAAAAATGATCATTAGAATTCAAAAGTCAAGAGAAACGTGAAGTGTAACACAATTTCGAAAATCGGCGATTATAAATTCATAAGCCTTACATTGCGATGTATTCTGCATATTGATATATCGTTAGAAGAACATGAAAGTGGAAAGTACATATTTCAAGTAACTGAGTAGTAATTATGCTAGACCGTGAATAGGAGCAAAACTAGTCTATCTGAATATGAGCATTAGAGAAAGCATTCAAAATGTTTTACCCATGGTTGCTTTTATGGAGTGCAGCGGCAAATAAATCCTCAAAATCAATAGAACAGTAAGTCTTCGACATTTTGTGCTGACCTCATTAATTCTACTGGTCTCACATAGCTGAAGGCACATGGTCACGCACCCGCCCCAGATCACGAGTGGGTACACCTTGCTACACATATCTTTCAACTGCTAGCCAGCTTAAACCAGACGTTCAACCGACATACCGATAGCCTCCCAAATATATCTTCGATCTCCTTCATTCCTGACCTCTGATTTGACCGAGTCGGTATACTTCGATTATAAAGGTGTTACTGGTTAGGACGTTGTCAAACTCTGAATACTTGTGGCACATTTAGGTGTATTAAGTGGTTGGATGAACTTGCCAGAGAGCCCTGCTGACCTAGTATTCCTACCAGTTGGTACTCAGTAGGAAAGCTTATCTAAAAACACAGAGGGACTGGTTTTCCACGTGGAACATAGTACCCACGTCATTATTGCTTGTGAATACTCTACCGAGCAGGGCATCGCAGAATGTACGATACGATTCTGTCAAATGTGAATATCAGAAATGCTAACGTCAACGAATGACGAGTCGTTCCCGAGAATAGACAAAACTGCCGAGACAAATCAAGTTATGAAAAGTAGAAATACAAGGGATCGAGGAAAAACTGGAAGTCCAAAAATGTGAAGACAAGATGTAGTTCAAGTATCAGAACACATAGTTAAACGCATATGATATGAAGTCTATTGCAAGTTTATGAAACTACATGCCAAGTTAGAGGCCTGTAAATAGTTTATTGTAACTCAAACTACTTACTACCAGCAAGTAGTATCGTTTGAATGCATAAAAGGCGATCAAAGAAGGAATAAAGTCTAGTGTATTTATAGGTGGACAGTACCCACAGGCTTTCTGTAAGCATGAAAGAAAAATTTCATCCTTAAATAAATCTGAACAAAGCTTGAGATGGGAATCTATTGACCGAACTGTTTATCAATTTGCTCTGGAATCGTGACGTAATTAGGATTAGTACATCTACTATACTAAAGGCATAAACGCTTAATTGGTTATCTTATAATCGAATAGATCCATTTTGTGCTTATGACTAGAATTCTTTGCTAATTATAATTTGACAACCAATCTGTGGGCATTGTACAGGTATTCAAACGGTCCTGTAGAATGAACACTGTTCTGACAAGTGCATTACAGATTTCAACTGTCATCATGTTTCAAAAAACAATGTAATCTTTTCATAATTTCTATTATTTTCTCATCTATTTTTAAGCTAAGTAAATCTTTCAGAAAATCAATGGAAATCTTTCACAATATCTTATTTGTTTATCTATGTAATATCTACTATTAACGATAGAACAACAGTATCAATATCAATAACAATAAATCACACTCATATCAAAATTCTATTGTAAAATAATCGTGTTTATAGAGAAAATACAAAAGAATTAAAAAAACTGTCATGAATTTCAAGAATTCTTTACTGAAATTGGCATAGAAATAACTTTCGTTTGCAAGTAACTATCCAGTGCTTCTTTCCCACTGAAATAATTAGAAAAAGAATGAGTAATATTATGTAGTAATGTTGAAATGGTTAATGTTTCCAGCCTCATTTAATCAATTATACAATGCAAACATCATGCAATGTCATCTGTAGGTATCTACCACATAATATTCATCTCAAAATTATTGATTGATGACTGATTTGAAGGTCGTTTGTGTGACTGTATTTATGATCAGTTGAAAAGTCCCAAGCTATGACGAAAGAGCTACACAGTGCTTTAGCATTTTCATTCGTTCTCTATTTAATGTCAACTAGTGAGTAGAACTATCAAGCTAAACAAATATTCACACTCATTTAACAATGTGCCCATTAATAGAATACGTTAAATTATTTATGATCCTAGTTGACAATGGTACTTTTATGATGGATGATACAGTAGGAAAAACCAATTACAGTTCAAATCAGTTATGGTCTTACCGAAATCGAGAGCATTTTTAATTTTCTAGTCTAATTGAATTCTACTTTCAGATAAACAAATCATTTTTTATGTAAATGGTTACAGTAAATGATTACAGTTTTCATCGATGTTTACCATTGAAGAGCATTTACGAATTAACAAGTTCCAAACGTTTCTCTAGATAATTTTGGCTTGAACACTTGACCATCGAGATTATGTCATCCAACTTATGCAGGCCAGTGAAATAGTCATCAAATTTGTAAAACAGTTGATCTCGCAACATGAAAAATACTTAATAATTGCAGGTTTACGAAAGAAATCATATTGGTGGTTGTGCAGAAATGTACATGTAATATACTACTCTCTATGTATTAAGTGGATATCCTGTTGTCGAGCATTTTCACTGTCGAACATCGCCGGATATTAGAAACAACTAAAATTATGATAACGTACTAAAACACATACATACGAAATTTATTCATCATAATACTCACAGTTCACGTCCCATTCCAGACATTTTATAACCACCAAAAGGAGTTTGGGGAGAAATGAGATTATAACTATTGATCCTATGACATGAAAGTGAATAATTCAAACAAACATTGTATTACGGGCTTAGAGTCGCACGTATAACACATTAATAATAAATAATGGAACAATAGTTTGTCAAAATACAGTAAAACTCAGCCTGTAGCTCTTCTAGGGATACTGACTGTCTAACGCTAAAACCTTGCTAAACAACGCTAACCAGAATAAACAAATTAACCTCTACGGAAATGACGAAATACAACTCGGTTGTACTCTCTCAACTCATTGGACCCAAACTGGACAGCAAAGATTGGATACGGGCGAGATGCTGCTGTACTCCAGTCACGAAAATGAAAGTGTTACACACACTCAGGCAGTTTCTCTGACACTTTCCAATGAAACGCGAAATGCACTTATAAGATGGGAATCTCACGGATCCAGGATCATCAGAACATCCTTTATACAAAGAAGGAGGGAATCACAATGAATGCTATCCTGTGATACACACCCACTAATGAGGCTGCAATCGATAATAGCGAAGTGACTAGGAAAGCACCTGAAAATCCTGATGCGAGATTTAAGCGCCGAAGTCGGAATGGACAACAACGGTTATGAAGAAAGTACTGTGGAGGACAATTGGAAGGGGATCAAAGAAACACTAACTTCATAAGAAGGACTACACAGCAAAGTGGTGCATGGAGGACAGCTTACATGTGCATTCCAAGTGAGGACTGGAGTCAGACAGCACTTCATACTCTCCCCCATCACCTTTCTTCCGGTGGTCGACTGGATTATGAAGACCTCGACGTCTGAGAGAAAACATGGAATACAATGGAAACTTCGGAACCAGTTAGAATACTTGGACTTCGCAGATTACCTGACTCTCCTATTCCATACACATCAACACATGCAGGTGAAGATAAACAGTGAATCAGCAGCCTCTGAATCAGTAGACTTCAACATACACAAGGGAACAAGCAAGATCGTCAAATGCAACACGGAGAACACCAACTCAATCTCATTTGATGGAGAATCTCTGGAAGATGTGGAACCTTTCGCGTATCTGAGTTGCATCATCGATGAACAAGGAGGATCTGATGCAGACGTAAAGGCGAGGATTGGCAACGCAAGGACAGCATTCCTACAATTGAATAACATATAGAACTCAAAACAACTGGCAACTGATTTCGAAGTCAGAATCTTCAATATGATCGTCGAGACAGTTCTGTTGAAATATGAAGAACTACCACAATAATCATCAAGAAGTACAAGTATCTATAAACAATTATCTACGCAATATACTCAATATCCGTTGGTCGAATATCATCAGCATCAGCCTACTGTGGGAGAAATCGGAAGTGGATAGGACAAACATTACGGATATCATCAAACTGCATCACGAGACAAGCGCCCACTTGGAATGTTGAGGGAAAACGAGAAAGTGGAGAATTAAAGAACACACAACATCGGGAATTGGAAGCAGACATGAAGAGGATGAATAGGAACTGGAAAGGATTGTCCAGGACAGAGTTGAATGGAGAATGCTAGTGTGTGGCATATGCTCCTTCATGAGGATTACCAGGCTTAAGCAACTAAACAAGCTTTGATCTACGCACTTCTAAATCAATAAACGAAATATTCATCTAAATCAAAGTATCTGAACGCAAGAAGATGAATAAATTGAAGCATATAGATCGTGAATAATATTATCACCAATGTCAATATACTACTTAAATAAATAAGGGTATAAATAAATGCGAAACGCTCAAGTTACTGTAGGAAAAGAACAAACGGCAAACACAAATAAATGAAAATTTAGGATGTCGACGATTGATGGAAATCGAGATGGGAAGAAGAATAAGTTGTGTGAAGATGTGCAAATGAAACCCTTCTAACGATTATCAACCAGTATAGTTTAGGTGAGTAAATGCAACATTATGCGAATGTCGCGGGCCGGTGGTTATTTCGGAGTTTGTTGAAGAGTGCGTGAAAAACAAACAGTCACTCACTGACTCTGGGAGAACTCCCCGGGCACTGGACAGAGAGTGTTGTCCGCCAAGTGCGGGTTTCCCACCCAGTCTCCATGTCATAATTGCGGAGACGTACTGCACATGGCCCTGTGGCTGTGTGTGGTGCTGAGCAGATGACCTGGTTGGATGGGCGCTGGCCTCAGGTGTACGGTTATTGACCACATCTCACAATGGGGGTCACGGGACGCGACACCACGCATTTTGTCAACACAACACCTCAATATCCACACACATACCTACGTCCCTCTCTGTCTGCTTACATCAACTACACTCTCTACCACAGGTACCACATTCTCACTCCACATACACAACACTGACCATTCGATAGACTATCAACAGACACTCATGATACAGATTCACTCGATTCTATTATTTATGTAATTAGGTCGTCACTTCTCAAACTGAATTGCAAATCATCCAATAAGACACATTAGCTAATGCTAATCACTTCGGTTATTCTCCACACACTATCGATTCACATCAATATCAGTTCGATTGAGTCGAATCCACTGTGCTGATTAATAAACACCACAACCTTGTATGTCACATACCACTGCACAACAGGAGATCAAGTTCATCCACCTCTCTTCTATACTTAACATTCAATCTATTGGTTGAAAATTTTCAGTTCGTTTTGTTCGATGGTGCTAACTCACAGAACAAGGTGTTCAAAAAGTCGGTTGTTAGTGTGCATGGAATTATCAAGTCCAGATACTCGGGTTGTTTTCTGTTGCAACCCAGATAATCAGTCGTTAACTGTGTATCTGTTAAATAACTTGTTGTTTTTTGTTTTTCTTTGTCTTGGCATCGTTCGTTGTTGAGTTTAGTGGAGTGCGACGAAGTGCCTAAGTACGCACGTGGCAATCCTGATGCGATATTTTAAATGCCGATGTCGGAATGGACCACAACGTTTATTAAGAAACTACTGTTGAGGACAATGGGAAAGTGGTCAATGAAACACTTATTCCAACGTGTCATGACGTGCCGGACCGCAAGTGGGATCATGATATTGAATTGATCTTTATCGAAACCCCATGGAAGATCCAACAATGTGAGTAAAAGAACACAGTATTTAACAACAGGCGAAAAAGAATAGAGAAAGCTGAATACACTGGAGTAAACAACCTAGTGAAGAGGAGCATTAAATCCGACTAGCAGAAATACGTGGAAGACCTAGCAACGTCAGTGGAGAAAGCTGCAAGAGAAGGAAATATGAAACAATTATACGACACAACGAAGAAACTGACAGGGTAATATGGTAAACCAGAAAGAACGGTCAAGGACAAAGAAGGCAAGATGATCACTGAGGTTCAAGAACAGTGGAGGAGATGGGTAGAACACTTTAAGGAACTCGTGAACAGGTCAAATCCACTGAAGTCACCGGACATCGAAGCAGCACACATAGACATGCCTATGAATGTCACTCTATTAACGATCGAAGAAATCAGAATGGCCATTAGACAAATGAAGAGTAGGAAAGCAGCGCGACCTGACAATATACCACTCCAAGCTCTGAAGTCAGATAAGGAAGTAACTGCGAAAATACTTCACACTCTATTCGGGAAGATTCGATAGGAAGAAAAAGTGTCACCGACAGACTGGAAAGAAGGACACTTTCATTAAGAAACCAAAGAAAGGAGATTTGAGCAAATGCAAGAGCAACAGATGCATCGCACTGCTGTCAGTATCAGGGAAGGTTTTCAACAGTGTTACTGAACCAGATGAAAAACTCAATAGACGCCCAACTTCAAGATAAACAAACCAGATTGCGTAAGGATCAGCTTTGCACAGAATTATTTTAGAATTCTAGTTGATTCATGTGAACTACTGTATGTCCAATACAAATAGTTCATCTCTGTTCATTACAGTTTTACTTCATTTTCTCACTTAACCAATGTGTTGAACAATATTATTTATTAATATCCGAATAATTTCGATCATATTTAATTGTTTGAAAAACAATAAGTCCTTTTTGTGGATTGTATTGTGTTATTTAAATGGTTACTATTGTAATACGTTTATTCACAACCTTTGAATAACTTCCTGTTGCAATACATTTGTTTAGATTAACATGTTTATTATTCATATATTTATTACTACAATATGTTCTATTACTATCATATCATATAATTATATACTAAATATAATCTATTTAATAATTATCACTGACTCATAAATTACCTAGACTGGTTCAGTATTTCTTATATATGCACATAATTAGATGCAGGTACATTCCGCTGATGTGTTCTAAATGGGACGAAACGCGCGTCCTGGATTCCACTGCTAGCCACTATCCATCTTTACTTATCAGGCTCGTGAATTAAGGCAATATCGAGGCAATATGCACAGTATGCACATATACCAATAACAGACTGATCAATTGCAGTCTTTAACCTCAATGGGAAGATACAAGCAAACAATACCAAGTGAATTTATGCATATGATTATTCCTGTATATTAAAGTCTGATGAAGAATTAATTGGAAACAATATTGTTCCTTTATATTTGTTTTATCAATTTACACGATGAGAATTTTTCTTTTGTTATTGACTTCAACTGATACTCATCTTACTCATTAGAGAAACATGAACTAACGAGTGCATATCAATAATTCAAATACATATTTTTCAGTGTGAAATAAGCTTACCAAAAACTTCCAGCTTCTACACATTGAGCAATTCTCATTGCTTTATCCATATCACTTGTGAATACACCAGCACCTAATCCATAATGTGTGGCATTTGCACGTTCAATTACTTCTTCCAATGTATTAAATTTCAATATACATTGAACTGGACCGAAAATCTCTTCTTTTGCTATACACATTTCATCAGACACATCTGCAAACACTGTTGGTTGAATAAAATAACCTTTTTTTCCAATTCGACATCCTCCAGTGACTAGTCGAGCACCTTGTTTTTTGCCTTTTTCAATATATGACATGATTTTGTCAAATTGTACATTGTCAATCTTTTTCAGATTGAAATTGAAGAAAAGAAAGTTTCACATTGATTAAGCATGCCTTAGTAAATAAAGACTATTTTATTTATACGAATTCACATCAAACATTCGGTCAGGTTATTAATATTAGATTATGTCAACAACAACAACATGAAGAAAATGTTTCCATATAAATGGAAAACAACTAGTTCCATCACGAGACAAGCGCCAACTTGGAATGTTGAGGGTAAACGAAAAAGAGGAAGGATAAAGAACACACTACATCGGGGATTGGAAGAAGAAATGAAGGATTATCCAGGACAGAGTTGGATGGAGAACGCTGGTAGGTGGTTTATGCTCCTCCATGAGGATTAACAGGCGTAATATATATAAAGAACTAAAATTAAAATTATTCAAACTTAGGTTATCTGATTTAAAACAAGGAATAAATCGAGACTGAGTTCAGTGGTTTTTTAACACCACATAATTTTTAAATGGATACTTATGTATTGATGGCGACTGGAAAGTTTCTGAAAGAGAATGAGACACTGTGTGGGTTAGTTTAAGACTATTAGTATAGGGTTGTGAAGATTATTAAGTTTTTGATTGAGATCATGGACCGATTGCTGCTGGACCATCATTGAAAACCTGGAAGCACTGGACAACCGTTTCGTCCCATTGTGGGACTTTTCAGCAGTGTGCATCCACGATCCCACTCTCGGCCCTGGGTTCGAACCCCGAAGGCTCCCAAAGAGTGCACACTCATATATTTCTACGCGAGCTAACTCATGGTATTTAAGTTGTCCATTGACTACAAGTGAAGTGAAGTTAGTATCCTTCAATTTATAGGAAATCTCAACCAGGTCACTTAATACAATAATAACCGTAGGATGATTAGTGAACTAGGCACAAGATATATCTATTAAAGTTCTGTCTGGAAGAAATGATCTAAGTAGTGAGATACCAGAATAATACAGTATGAAGATCACACTATAACAAAAATTAATTGAAGCTGACAATGTGAACCATTAAACATTTACATGATGATCTGAAGATATAACGCTTGTTTTTAGACCTAAAACTCTAAGGCTACATCTTATCTGGAGCTTTTGGAATCCACTGATAAAGAGTAACCAAACGAAAAAATGATCACTCAAACATTTCAAACACACTTTGTTGTAATAAAAACTTGAAATAAGACATAATATTGGTTTCCTCCACAAATGACTCCAAAATTCACTCAGAAAAGTAGTTCATGTTTTTGTCAATTCAGTGACATTGCCTCACCAATCGACTACTATTATGGAAAATGAAGTTTAAAATAGTACTTTTAAGGATTTTTATTTTGCCGTTGATAGGTAGATGTAATCAGCTGAAACTGTCTATCATTGCACTGGTGGTTACTATGCAATTTTAATAAAGACTTTCAGAACAGTATGCCGAGAGAAACAAATGAAAATTTTCATTGGAAATAGTTCCAAACTTATCGGCAGTATTTATATACCAACACAAGATAGCAACCAAACAGTAACTGATTACCTGTGGACCTTGTATAGTATCAGATAAGAAGGGATCACCAACTTTACGTTGTTCAGCTAGTCTTTTCAGTTTCCCAACCATCTGATCGTATATAGAAGCTTGTACAAATACACGAGTACCAGCCACACAACACTGCCCATGGTTAACCATTGTAGCTTCATGTGCAACTTCTGCAGCTTTCTCAACTGAAAAATCGAAAACAGACAAAGAGGCAACATAGATTTATTTTAAGGTATGTTAAATAAAAAAGAAACTAGTGAATATTACCATTGAAAATGTACATATGAAGATTTTTAAATGTGATATACCAATCTCATACAGGTCATATATATTTATCCATTCAAAACCATTTATACAAAAATATTCGACATATATACTAGTAACAGTAAATTATATTAACTTCATAAGTATTCAAACATTTAACCGCCAGTGATCTCAAAATATAACGATGATAATGAAAAAAAAAAGAAGTCAACTCGAGAGATACTCTGAAAGTATAAGCAGGTTTAAATATATCGGTAAACAATTCTTGGGATAGAGATCTTGAACCGATTGATGTTAGACCACCATTAAAAACCTGGAAGCACTGGACGGCCGTTTCGTTCTATTGAGGAAATCCTCAGCAGTGCGCATCCACGATCAATCGGTTCAAAATCTCGATCAATAGCTTAATGATCTCCACAACCCTATATTGATAATTCTTGGAATAATCAAAGGGTATTAGCAACTAGGTTGTTATTATCACTAGACAGCTTCATATTCTATTATAATGGGACATCAAATGATTTAATCTAGTGATTCTGGTAGATAAGATTCTGTCAGTATCAAACGTTCACGCAACATAACATAATATAAATCACATACACTAAATCTAAATGATACATGAACTAAAGATAAATTCTCATTTTCGAGGGTCATCCAATGTTTCCAAGTTTTCCATAGTGGTCTAGCTTCATGATCTCAATTATTAAAACAATCTAAATTTGTTTGTAAGTTGAACAATCCAAGGGTACAAAAACTAATTTGATTAAAAAAACCTATTGATACATGAATAATACATGTTAAATGAATTAATATTGTTGAATTCAATGGAATTTTATCACAGACAACACATTAAGGTCTACAATTCATCTAGGCGTTCCTTTATTTAGGGTCAAATGTTGGAACAAAAAAAATTAAAATTAAAATGAACTAATAGGGTGAAAGCTATTTTAAATTACCGACTCATAAAGAATAGTCTACTTCAAACGATTTTGAACCATGTCACTTTATATCTCATAACATACATTAGCGTTACGCTACGAACAGTAACTACCAAGTTCTCACCTCTTGGATTGCCTCAGACCAATAATTAGCAACTTCACAGATTAATTCCTGACATTTTGCAACCTATTTCTAGAATATCTAGCACCGCCAGTCAGGAAAGGTAGTAACTGGACCTGTTCCAAAAGTCGTAAATTTGATGTCAGTATTGGAATATATATACAATGCCGAAAATTCGCCAGTATAAGAACGGGAGTAAAATGTTCGGTATCATATCTGAAGACTGCGTACCATCTTTTATGGTATTCAAGAAATTACCCTTACATGAATGGAAAATGTTCCTAAAAAGAATTTTCAGAAAATAACGTCTGGGTTACAGTTCTTTAGTAACGGCACTTTCAATTATGGTAAAAAGATACAACAAAAATGTTAAACACATACTATCAGCATCAGCTAATATGATCAGTGGTGATTTGCCGCCAAGTTCTAATTTCACATGTTTAATATTCGTAGCCGCAGCTTTCATTATCAACTGACCAACTTCAGTACTACCGGTGAATGAGATAGCTCTAACATCTGGGTGATGAGTTAACGCCTCACCAGTAGTTTCACCATATCCACAGATAACATTAAATACTCCAGGTGGGAAACCTAAATAAAAAAATAATTGTTAATTATTTCTGACACTTATTCTGCCACTGAAAATATCAAATAAATTACAACAGTAGAACAAAAACAGTGGTGAAACATATGACAAGTCGATTTACGTAGAATTAAACTCGGAATCAAAATAGACTCGATGAAATTTAGTCACATTAGTACAAAATCATTTGTGCAAGTTAAGTATAAAGGGATTTGAACTTGTAAATCAACAGTTATTTCCAAATGTATCATGAATATTCATTTGTATCTCAGTTAAATGAGGTTCTTTTTCTGTTCGAATATACGTAGGCAACAGTTATTGATGGTTGATATTAGTTACGATACCATATGAAAGAAACCAAAATCAAAGAAGTCAAACGCTGATTAGAACCTGTATCTCAGGCGTTTTAAAAACATTGACCTTCCAGTCAAATAATAACAGTTAGTTAGTAATTTAACTCAGTTCATTCACGTATTGCAGAAATAACACAAAGAACATACTAATTGTTTCTTTGCTGATTTTGCAAATCGTTTATCCATAGACATCATTTGTATTTTAAAATGAAATATTAAATGTATATGTATATGTTTACCTGCCTCTTTGGTTAAAGCAGCTAAATACAATGCGGATAATGGCGTTTGTTCTGCGGGTTTCAATACAACTGTGCAACCAGCGCATAAACATGGAGTACACTTGAGAACGCTCAACAAAAACGGATAGTTCCACGGTGTGATACAAGCAACAACTCCAAGTGGTTCACGGCGAGTAAAAGTAATCATATTTCCGTCAACTGGTAACTGTTTACCATGAATCTTATCAGCGTATCCAGCATAATATCGAGTTGTTTGCGCTGCAAATAAGACATCATCTAATGCTAATTCTACAGTCTTCCCATTATCCATTGCTTCTAAACGCTAAAATGAGAAGAAAAAGAAATGATAGGAGTACAAACAACGAATTGATGTTGATGAAATTATGAATTCGGAGAGCAACATACTTACTATTTTCATTATTGAACAAACTAACATATTATCACAAAGAAATGGATGGACATTTCCACAAATTTTAAGGTTCCACAAAGGGAATACTAAACTAATTCGGAAAAGTAGAACCTTCAAGCTAAAATAAACACTAAAGAGAAGAGAGTATTACAGTGAGCTATCGTTTTCGATAACTTTCCCGTTAGGCTCTGCAGTTATAAATCCAAAATTATTACTGCATTAAGTAAACAAAGATTGAAGTTGGATTGGTCTACGGAATAAATTGAGAACGAAAAATTTCACGTTGATTGAGTTTTAAATACTTCAAATTACTAACAAAACGACATTATTGGTGATGTAAAGAAGTTATACATCATATACCTATTAATCTACCAAAAACGTAAGATTACGTTTACTATATACAACTGAAGTAATTGACATTTGTTCAAGGAAACCCGAAAAGGATACATAAAGCCATTTAAGTTACTTTGGGTCATTTTATTCTTAGCTCAAATAATGTGGCAGCAAAATCCGACCAGTGGCCTCTATGTGGCACTACTGAGTAGTAGGGGTGACCTTGCTAGCTAAATTGGACAGTCAGATAAGATCGAACTAATCCCCCATTATTCTGTAAACCAGATTACTTTGGGTCTCCAAAATTGAAGCTTTCAAATCTTGAGGGGTGTCTGATGTGTATGCTTACGTATATGAATTGCATGATTTTCGGCTCGTGTACTTGTATATGTAGCTATATGCAAATGGTACGTGGCGGGTTCGCTAAAGGAATGTAAGCTGAAATGTGTGCCCTATATCTTATAAAATCAGTGGGCTAAACCAACAGGTCGAAGACACGACAAGAAGAAATAAGAGCAAATACTGGGAAGAGGTGACCATAAACCTTTCCTGAGAGTGCTTATACTTATGTGCATTCCATGAAGTGCATGAGCAAGTCTTTGTATCGTAAATGTGCATGTAATGCGTAGAAGACAGTCAGCTGTAGCAAATACGTTCGAAGAGAGTGGTAACCATCTACCATCCCAGGTAGATGAACATAATTTTATCTATACTATGAGATGCATAAGTGAAAACTTGTGTGTTATTGGTGTGCATGTAACATATTAGGCCCTGGTCTGGTGAACATTGGTCTTGCGTTCTTCCTCTTCGTTCGGGGCAAGTTAGTGTTGGATTAATCGTCAGGTGTAGAATATCAGTCTTCCTAGTCGTTGCTGGGTATTGGTTGCTTAAGGTCATCTACGCTTATTGGTTGGTTGTAAGATGATGTAACAATTACGATTTGCACTCCCAAGACACTGTTTCTTATCCCGAATTCATCTTCATTATTTTAGATTATATTTATTTTTGATGTTATTATTATCACAATAGCTATAAAATAATTGGTTTTTTAAATATACAATCCAACTTATTAGTTAGAACTCATCATCTTCACTACGACATATGATTCTTCCCATCCTTTTTTGTTTGATCTTTTCTCAGCATTACCATTCAAGTTATTTGGTTCTGTTATTAATTTGTAAAATTTAAGAAACAACCGGCGTGAAGTTTGCTGTTTTTAATGGATTAACACAAAAATGATAATCTTGGATTTATAGCCATAAAGTTTGATGGAGGAGTTATCGTAAAATATCGTTCACTTCAAGACTTTCTGATCTCGAATATACCATGGAAACTGGTAAATTCTTAATATTAATATGACACAAGACCAAAAAAATACTCTAAATAGTTATCACGTGAATTGCTGAAGTAAACTGAATTCTTTCCTTAGTTTATATCTAACTGTAGATTCACCTGTACAGAGCAAGTTTTATCAGAAAAATGGATACTCCATGTTTTTCCAAACTGGTAATGATGATGTTACGTATTCATCAATTGCAGATTCATGTACACGGTGCCCTAAGTCAAACTTTATGATTGAAGGCTAGTAATGACAACCGGCTGTCCGAGCCGAAGTAGGTGACACAGGACTCGAATCTGAGAATGAATAGACGTCTTGGCCACGAGTTCGAACCTATATGGACAGATAAGAAACAACTTACAGCTATATATTCAGCATTCATCTCGATCAGATCAGCCAATTTATGTAACAAAACACCACGTTCTGAAGCATCCATGGTACGCCACGTAGATCCTGTCTTGAAGGCTGCCTTAGCAACTTCAACTGCTTTGTTCACATCATTCTGATCAGCTTCTTGAACATGACATATCACATCCTCTGTTGTTGGATTAATAGTTGGAAATGTTCTTTTCGATTTGCTATCGACAAATTCATTACCAATGAATAACTAAAATATAGCATGTCGAATATAAAGTACGTCAAAATATGTAATTATACTTACAACTGGCTAGATTTCTTTAAAAGTAATAAAATCTAAAATTATAAAAGTTAAGCAGGTAAATCCTAGTTAAGCAAACACAGTTGCTGAGCCTTATCAAACGTTAAATCTTTTCAAACTCGCTACTAATTATGAACTTATCAAGCATCTTTATTAAAATAGAAATCACCATGCAACAAAGATATGAGTTACATTGGTAAGTACACTAAGTTATACTGTACAATAAGCGCAACTTTTCGAGGTAAACAAACTTGTTAATATAAATATAATCTGATTTATCGGACAACAAACGTTAGTACTGTATAAAGGCTCCATAATTTAGACATTAATAGTTGTTAAGCAGCCCTTTCCAATATCGATTAAGCATCGTCATGAAAACAATCAACAGCCACGTTCAACTGAACTTTCTAGTCATTTTATTTCATTGGACAATTACGAATTTATATCACTCCAGATTTCTAAAGAATACTTAGAATTCTGGAAGTTGTTCTATTCGAACAATCAACACTACGGAAATAATTCATGAATCGAAAGATTTTTGAACAATAAGTTATTCATGAGTTCACTTATAATACAGCATCTGTACTCTCACATTCTATTTATGAAAAGGACAATTTTTTTAAAAAGCAACAAAGTGGGATTAGTTAACTCGTGAATAGCAAGTGAGTCAATGTGACATCTAGAAGTCATGTTCTAAATGATGCATGCAATTTACAATCCAAGTTAAATAACTTCCTAGGAAATGTTGAAGATGGATTTTTTGATTGAAATTATGAACTGATTGATGTGAGACCACCATTGAAAACCTGGAAGCACTAGATGGCCATTTCGTTCTATTGTGGGACTCCTCAGCAGTGTGCATCCACGATCCCGCTCGCGGGATTCGAACCCAGAGCCTTCAGTCTTGCGCACGAACGACTAACCTCTAAACAAATAAGTCGGTATCCAACAGTGTTAATGTCTAACCTCAACCAATTCACGAAATTGCTGAGGAGTCCCACAACAGGACGAAACGGTCATCTAGTGCTTCCAGATTTTCAATGATGGTCTAACACCAATCAGTTCATGATCTCAATCAAAAATTTAATAATCTCCACAACCCTATACTGATAAGATGGATTTACCTATCACAATAGCCTTCGAATCAAGTTAAATTATTCGTGGAAATTTTTTTTAGTTTTTATACAAATTTAAACTTGAAAAATTTAACAGGATGTGAGAGTAACAACTGCATACCCAACGATAACAAGATGTACTGACTGGACAAATTAAATACCTACTTGAGTATGCTTAACTTCAGGAAGACAATACGCCTTCGTCATACTTTCCAAAAATCACCTCAACTAAACGAATTTACTAAGATTTAAATACTTGTAAACAGACATGAATGACCAATGAAGGTCATAACTTTTGTTTTAGATCTGATTGGTTGAAAGTTGTAATCTGTTAAAACTAGACATACATTTATCGATCGGCTTTATTGCAATAACGTCAATTCCCACAACTCAATAATGGTATTTTATTTTCTGAATTTCTCGTTGCTTATTCTCATCATGAATTAATTTCACATTTAAGAATATGTCTAACTTATGTATAGATCTTATCCATCTAAATGAAAAAATTCCAGCATATACATTCTAATTGATTAAGTTATCCTGTAAATTGGTAAAATAACCGTAAAAATTTCTGGACTCTCCTTAATGCGGATACAAATAATCTCAAATTCAAACAACTTGTAATGAGTGAATACATTTTGGCAACTGAAAGCTATCACTTGGGTAGAATGAATTTAATAAGTCTAGTTTGTTCAAAAATAAACGTAAATTTACTTATTATTGAAAGAAGCGTAACCTGTCAGTATTGAAGTGTTAAGGTTAGAAGTTATAATGACGGTATATGGTTAGAGTAACTAAATACCTTTTAATCATGAAATTACTCTTGATTATACCCTTGATCACACCATGTAAGCGTAGGTACTATTGTGGTGTAAGTTACTTAAATCCACATAAGTAGTGTATAACGGTTGTCAGACATAGAATGTATTTCAGTAGAAGGTCGAGAAATAACGCAATTAGTATGAAAATGTATGAACAATGAAATGTGAGACATTTGACTGATATTTGCAAATGGAACAGTCAAGTTTGAGACGATGGATTGATATTTTGCAAATTAACTATTTACTATATGATTCTCAGATTTTCCTGAGATGCTCTGTAATTTCGTGTCAGTTGCATTCGATTGTCCCCACTCATGTTCTTGTTCACTACACTATCAGTGTCAGGATTAAGTATTTCTTAAAATTACCTTAAACACTATGTCATTATTCACCATGTAGCCGTACAGAATATACGTTTGACAATTTTAAGCATTTCAGGAACTAATAATAGACAATTTTTACTTATTTTTAAAAAAAATATATAATATATTCTGTCCTTCACCGAGTTTCGAACTTTGAAGTCTAATGGACGTCATATTAAATGTGATTGGGCTGTAGTGGTAAATAAATCCCCAAAATCAGTAGCTCTATAAGTCTTCAAAATTTGATACTGACCACATTAATTGTAATAGACTCACCTATCTGAAACAGCTCAGTCACGCATCTGCACCAGATCACGAGAGGAAACGTCGTGCTCAATTTCTCCTACAATCGCTAGCCGGTTTAGATCAGTCATTTCTCGATATATTGATAACCTATCAAATATATCTTCAAACCTCCTCGCTTCTAACTTTTGATTTCACTGGGTGGGGACGATTCAACTATAGAAGATGTTGCTGGTTAAAGTGTTGTCAGCTATAAATATCTGTGGCATATTCAGGGCCCTAAAATTCATCGATATGATATGATCTTACTACAACAGCTATTTTTCGTCTTAATCTAATTCTATGAATACAGAGAGAACTTTTGGTTCACCTCATGCTACCACGGTTCATGGCTATCTTTCTTTCCTTATTTCCTCTGTCTAATTTTTAATAGTCACAATTCGATTTTGTTTGTTAAATATACGACCATTCTGAACATTCCTCATCCTTACTATTAAATTATTTAATCGTAGTAACACCATTCTTTATTTTAGCAGTTTTTATTCTTAATTTTTGATTATCACTCATGTAATGTTTACAATATTGACTAAAATATATCCATCTAAGTAACTGCGCTTTCTCAAACAATCGGACCGGATATTTGCGAATAATAATGTAAAGGTGCTTTTACAGAAGAAAAATATGTATTTGTAAAATATCTGTGAATGAATTTGAAGTAAATCTAACGTTTCGCCTGGCAATCTGGTCTAAGCTTTCTCAAGAAAATAACGTTGGATTTACCTCAAATTCATTCGCAGATATTTTACAAATACATATTCTTCCTCTTTAATGTCTCACAGCAACTTGGTGCCAAAATACTGTGAAACTATTCGATCAAATTTAGACGAAAGTTCTTATGTAGAGGTGTTTTTTTGTTATTTGGTAAATGTATCAACAATAAACGAAATATTATTTTCTTGAGTATCATAGTCTATAGTCAACTAGATAGTTGATACGTAATTTCACTGTGTTATGTCCCAACAAGAATAATGAATGGTAACTTTTGGGATCCATTTACTGACCAATACTAAACGTATATTCCTATTGTATAATTATTAAGTAACTAAACTATGCATATTCATATTCCTGTTATTATAAACTTCGTGTTGACCCATAAACTATTATTATACGTTTTACTATTCTTGAGTTGTACCCAGTTTATGAATTACTACCTCCCTCATTCACAGTCACATCTGGCTAATTCTTGTACAAATGTTGTTTCATATTTTATTGGTACGTTGTGGTCTGTTTGATTGATATATAAATTCAGTATATTTGAAATATAATGATTCATATCGCAGAGGCTCGAATTGATGTTCTGGACTTAACTGATTGGGCTAGGCAAGAAGCAGGACCAACCAAAAATCTAGGCTGATCAAACGGGTTTACGCGTCATTGATTCGATTGATAAGTCACTGCCCTCTAATCTGTGGTCACAAGGTATAACACATTGACCCAGTATATATTTACGATAGGAAAAGTTATATGTGTATTTTATATTTTTTTGTCAGTTATGAACCTGGGAAGAATATGATTCAATGTATAAAGTAGATGACAAAGGGTTCCCTTATACGTACACATGTGTTTTATCCAACACAATGTTAAAAGCAATTGTGTTGTAATTACGCAATAAGATAAAATGATTATTTAAACCTTATATAATCTCATAATGACAATACAAATGTTTATAGCACTTAGTCCCTTTTGATAAATTTCAAGAGTATAATAAGAAGACGATTATTAGAACTACGTGATATATATATATATATATAATTATTAAGACACTACCTTACACCAATCTCTTCGTTATTGTTCTCTTTTTTTTTATACCCGCCTTACCTATTTTCTTTTCCTTTTTCCTTCTCTTTAAATACTCATTGTTTTGTGTGGCGCATATATATTTGGCGCACCCTTGTACCAATATGTATGTGTTCAAATAAATAAATAAACTACTGAGAATCTATAGAGCACGATGTAACACGTCTAGAAGTCGTTCAATTTCAGTAATTTTCTATCTGTAAAAATTCCATGAGGAGTCCCATACTAGGACGAAACGGCCGTCCAGTGCTTCCAGGTTTTCAATGGTGGTCTAGCTTCAACTGACTCATGATTTCAATCTGTAAGTGAATTTCATCACAATTACCCTGGCCAACTTCGGAGCATGCTAGTTAATAATCAATTTTATAATATGGTGACGTGATTTGATTATTGTTCATTTATCCACACATATTATTATTATACTTGCTAACCGTTTTGAGAAATGTATTCAGCATCCACCCCTATCTACTATATCTGACCTAATTCATATTCTTCTACATATTACGTAATTTCTGATTCTCTCTCTCTCACCCCATGTTGACCATATTTATTCTGATCATCCATCGTACAATTTCATTTCACTTATAAACTGATTGAAGTTAACACTTTATCAGTGGTCTAGTGGTTAAGTGCTCGCGCGCGAAGCCAGTAGGTCCTGGGTTTGAGCCCCGCGTGGTGCGGGATCGTGGATGCGCACTGCTGAGGAGTCCCATACCAGGACGAAACGGCCGTCCAGTGCTTCCAGGTTTTCAATGATGGTCTAGCTTCAACTGACTCATGATTTCAACCTGTGAAATTTCTTAACACTTTATATTTGTCAGCCCCAACATTAACGATTTGAAGTTAGACATTAACACATTTGAATGCCGGCTTAGTGGTATGGTGGTTGAGCGCTCGCGCGCGAGGCTGTTAGGTCCTGGTTTCGAGTCCGGCGAGCCGGTCGTGGGTGCGTACTGATGAGGTATCGCACAATAGAATAAGACAGCCGTCCAGTACTTCCAGGCTTTCTAATGTGGTCTAGCTTCAATTGAATCATGAACTCAAATATTGAAATTAACGATTTGGTTTGATTTCATATTTCGATAGTACAATTAGAAGACGAAGATGATCGGAATTATGTGATGATATATCATAGCCCAATACATTTACAACAATCTGATCACACAATATACTGGTTAAGAACATTTATATATAAAACAATCAAAGATCAACTAGACTAGAAATGGAGGATAAGAGGAAACAATGATAATAATAGGAGTAATAATAATAATGAGCAAACAATTTGAAACCTCATCACTCTGGATAATAAGCTAATATTACCAGGGTAGGTTTAAGGTGAAACTAAACTGTTTTTGAATAAACAGAGGGGGTATAAATTTTCGTATGGATAAGGCTTCAATAAACCTTGGTATACACCCTTTTACACTTTTGTACAGCACGACAAAAGCCAAGCTAAGATCAATCTTATGACCTGTTTCAATTATGTGTTTGGCAATAGAGGATGATGGATGTTTATCCTCTACTCTTATCAGGTCATTTGATTCTATTTGTTCCACATAATTCTGGTAATATTCGTCTTCTTATTACAAATGTTTATAATAGTTTAAATATTAAACATTGCAGTTGATTAATTCTTTACTTTCTTCCTTAAGACATACAATTTTTCTTTAAGTCTTTGGGTGAGACTATAATTTATGGACTAACCAATCAGATATGAGATAACAGGTCTTGAATTCTGGCACGAAATTCGTTCACCCATTGGGCTACATAGCTTTCGTCATCTTAGTTGCTGTCAGTTCGTGATGAAAAGCCTAAATCTAATTCCTAACACTAACCATCAACTGTAAGTCATGATTCCGATTCCTTACAATGGTTTAAAACCCTCACTTAATCCTAGTCAATAGGTGAACATTCTCATGGTCACTTAAGCGTCGTTCCATAAATTA